CTTTTCATAAAAGAGCAGGTCTAGACCGTACTCTGTGATGATATTTACAGAAGCCCAACAGTTCCCACCAAGAGCAAGCACTAGGCGACAGAGGCAAGGAAAAACTTCCTTTTAAGAGGCCAAAACCTCGAGCAGAACCATGGCTCAGGGTGGGCGGCCATCTGCCTCAACCGGTTGGGGGTGAAGAGAGAGAGAGAGAGAGAGAGAGAGAGAGAGAGAGAGAGCAGGAGAGGAATAGAGAGAAAAAGAGAGGGATGTAAGGAGAGAGAGAGGGGAGGGAGTAGTAGTAGGAGGAATAGTAATGTGGCTTTACATTATGCACATTCATTTGTGATTTTGCATTTTTCTATGTCAATCCCCATCTACTTAAAATAGCGATTTGTTATCTAAAATGTAACCCATGTAACAATATATGCTGTTGGGAGATGTTAATTGACAGATTCCTAAAAATTGACAGATCAATGCTCAAAATCCATTCAAATATAGAGCATTTCTGTGGTCAAAATGTCAGTGGTGGAGGCCTGCTGTTCTCCACATACATGAGGAGAATGAAGGTAATGAGGACTAGGTAAACCTCAGGCCCTTCAGTGTTGCAGCTTTCCTTCTTCAGCCAACACCATAAAACAGTCCTTGTTCTGATGGACATTCTGTCTGGATGTCATAGGTTTGCTGAGGCAAACACCTGTGAAATGTTGAGCCAGGACTGTGAACATTTATTCTATAAATCTTTGTCTCTTCCAGAGGAAGTGATAGCTGGCATCACCTAACTGGCACATCACCAGAGCGTGGAACTACCCCCCAACAACATGTTCAACACATTAGACTGACTTAGCTGCCAGAGCGGTTCATCAGAGAGGTGCTGGCATTTCTAACAGATACTGCAAGCAGCTAGCTGGTAATGTTACAGATGAGGGGAGGTCGCTGAATACACTGTTCTGATGGACAGTTAAAACAGGAGGAAGGGAGTCTGCTGTCACAACAGATCTTGGTGTCTCTATTTTTTGTGCTTCTGATTTGCTGCTGCACTGTTCTGTGTTGATTGAGACTTTCAAGCATGTAGCTTTTCTAAACACCACAATCAGTGATTTCCTAGCAGGAGTTCTGCCTGCGACAGACAGTAGGAAACTCCTGCTGTGACACGAGTGATTAGGGTGAGGCCGGAACATTTCAACCTATAGAGAGACCCTACATTACGAGTTATTCCATTTTATTCAATATATTAAAATTAAAAAAGGAGTTTATTCTATTTTGAGAGTTTGAAAATCTGTAGTGGTTTACTTGCACGAAGCAGGAAGATTAATGGACAACTAGAGGACTACGTAATTGGTACACTTACAGTATAAAGAAGGTAACCTGTGTCTTAGTGAGTGTTTCTTACAATGGTACTACTATAGTATAAACTTGGCTTGGCTGGTTGTCAAAACAAAAATATAGCCTGGATAAAGTTTTTTTCAAGTAGCTTAATGTAGCTTTGAAATCACACACACATACACTCGCAACAACCATTTCCACCACAAAAGTCCAAAGCACTATGACAGAAGAGGTACAATGGCAGATGTTTACACACACACACACACACACACATACACACACCGATAGTCAGCCTCTCAGTGCCTCTTGACATTCACTCAGGACTTCATGTACAGTGGTACACAGTTTCCCACAATTCTCATTAATCCTTGTATTATCTGCTGGGTCAGACTTTAGATGGACTTTGATAATAGATCACTTGGTATGAAAGCCCAAGCCAGTTTTTTACTGGAAGCTTGCCAAAAGTGAACCCACAGTCTTGAGGAGTGGCTTGTAACAGTTTTGAAGTGTAATTCAAATAGTCATTTTCATATGTGTAATTAATCCTGCAGGGCTGCTTCACTGGTATTTACATTTGAATCGTATCTGTTATGTTCAGCAGCGCTGACACGGGAAAACCGGGGATTTGGACCCAGGCGCCAAACACCAGGCAGAACATATGCAGTTTGCAGAGTTTTTTTGATCAAAGGTGGAACTTACAAGTGTGTTGAGGATGGCAGTCCAAAACAAGGCAACACAAATCCAGATATGCAAGCAATAATCCAGGAATCCAAATACCCAGTCCATAAAGGTGGATATTCCTAATGGACACGTGAACACAGGTGTCATAACCTGGCTCAACAGTAAGTGACAAAAGCGGGAAACCACACAGTCTGAAAATGATAATAGATATTTTAATAAGTAAATTAAGCAAAATATACAATTGTAGGTGTCTGTCAGATCAGTATGTATGCAGTGTATGTGTAATTGGAGCGTATGGGTGTAGAACACAAAGAACCAAACAGAACAGAATCAGTCGGCAGGCCAGGAGAAGAGGGAGTCAAATCATCAAGCAGGCTCCTTTTATAGCCATCTGAGCCCCGCCTGCTCAGGTGTGTCGCATCTCACCAGGTATCAACTCCACCCACCAATTACCCAGATTAAAGGGACAAAACACAGCAAGATACAAACAACAAGAGAGGGCCCAAACCAGGGGCCGTCACAATCTGACTGCTAAACATAAACTGATTAGTATGTGTAGGTACCAAATCTGGGCTTACTGCCGGATCTCTATCTGCACATGCGCAAAAGTGGTCCTGTCTGTCAAAGAAGGTTACCACAAATGTGCCTGTTCATAATTACTCGTGTGTTTTTGTCTGTTCTCACCACAGGGTGTCAAATACTGATGCTTTCAGAAAGGCTGTTATTTGATCATAGTATTTGATGTAAAAGGTACCTTGCGGTGTGTGTATGAGACGCCCTGTCTAGACCGGAAGCGCTAGTAGCTAGCTAGGTAGCTAGCTATGTTAGTATAAAAGGCATTGACAGCTTCCCAAAACCCCTAACCCTAACCATCACAGTGGTGTGTGCCTAAACCTAAAGTGCAATTTATACTTCTGCGTCAAATCGACAGCGTAGGCTACAGGGCTACGCAGAAGCTATGCTGTCGCCTGACATGCTCCTCCTCCAAAATGTAACTACACGTCGAGTTGACGCGGACCGTAAGCTCTGTGATTGATCGGCTGGGTAGCCTCACAATGCCTCCGAGCCGACCGGAAGTACCCCGTGCTTTGAAGTAACATTTACTAGCGGCCAAAACGGCGGCTGTAACACAGTGAATCAATATATTTGACCATCACAACCCGAGCGAAATGACTCTTTTCGCTATCAGAATGTGATCCATTCGGTCAGTAACATTTGAAAAGGCTACACCAGCTGCACGTATACAATTTTACCCCCATTTATGTTAGCGGAGCACTAAACCGGAAGTTAGCCTGCTCGGCCGGCAAAAGTCAACACAGTGGACGCTGTTGCGCTACTGCCGACTAGCGTTTGGGGGTGTAATTGCAGAATGACGGACACACCTACGCACAAGTATAAATGCATGGCTATGTGCGTACCTACGCTGTAGGCTACGCTGTAGACCCTACGCAGGAGTATAAATGAGCCTTAAGTCAGCGATTGTATGCATGTCGGCTGGGAACAGACCAACTAAATACCCTAGTAAGGAGGTGATAACGAGACACAGGTGAACAGACAATCAGGGAGCACACAGACAAGAAGCAAAACACGTGGCAGAATAACTTCAAAATAAAACAGGAAACACAGGAAATAAGAAACACAAACACCAACCTCCCAGAGCACTAAAGATGTGAAAATCTGACATTAAAATATTATATGGGACCATAGTTTCATAATTTCCCAAAATCAAAATTTTGTGTTTCTTTTATTTCTGAAAATATTTAATTCAGTTGAGAAATTTTAAGCCACTGAATGTTCTGGTGACGGTGAGGAGCAGGTTTGTGACCAGATCAGATGCATGTCGAATCCGAATGGAAGGAGGATAACATGCATAGGCACCAGACTACCAAAGAAGCACTCGGGATAGAGCTGTAAATGAAGCTGGTGTCATGAAACCTTGTGCATGCATAGTAGAAGAACAACCTGTGGCTAAAATGCGTAATAAACCTTATTTTGGGGCCAAGTTGTCAAACTTTTTTTTATAAATGCAGGGCTTTTTTGTCTCTATGACCGTTGAAAGTGCAGTTTTGGCTCTCTCCCCATTCATTTAGATAGGGGCTTAGTCTTGTTAGTCCAAAATAACTGCCAGAGGCGTTACCAAGATGGCTGCCGACTGGTGGGACATGCCTATGTAAGGACTTTGGTAGCGGTCAACAGGTGAACACATCAATCTACAAAGTTTGTCTTCCTGTGTTTTTGTAACTAACAGATAAGCAATTCAGTGAATATGGAGAATGCATTTTATTTAAAAAGGGATGTGTCCATGGGTTATTGGTAATGGTTATTATTTTATTTAACAACACTCAATAGCATTGTGTTTTTCTAGAATTGTTACCCAGGGATAATCTACAGACCACAGGAAGTATTTTCTACCCAAATGTAAATGCCAGTGGAAACAGTTTTTGATATGTATTAATGTGATTTGTTGTGATCTGTGTGTATGTGTTGGGTGCATAAATACAAGATCAAAGAGCTGCGTTAGGACTGGTCATTGTCTGTGTGGGGGTGCAGGAAGTCTCCATCTTGACTAATATGTCTCTGCCTCTAATTACAGGACCACACACACACACACACACACACACACACACACACACACACACACACACACACACACATACACAAGGATAGACACTAACAGAACGACATTCAAACACTGTTTTATCTTCCTCTTTATATGTGAAGTCAGTGACCTTAAAAGGCTTTGTGTTCAGGTTTGTATAAATCTACCAACCAGCAGGCAAGGATTCGATTTAACCTAAGGTAAACGTACCACTGAGATGTGGGCTACTTTAGGTATTAACTGCTTTTTCTCTGAAGCAATAACAAGATTATGTCAGTACCAGTAATTGGCATACACCAGGTGGGCATGTTAACCCCTTCACTCCCCCAACCAACCTCCAACTTGTTAGAGTCTCTCTCTCTATCCTCTTTTGAAGCACGAATTCAAAACAAATGGGTCTGCTCACTGCAAACTCTACAAAGAAAAGCAGACATTGTTTTAATATTCAAGGTAAAAAGTCAGTTATGTGTGCTTGGTCGTAAGTAAGAACATTTGAGTTACCTCATCTGTGAGATAACTCAAATGTTCCTAGCAGCAGTAAAATCTGTATCGAAGGTTAAAAAAAAAGTCAGACAGATTTGTTGGGGTTTTTTGTTCTGGATAGTAAATTAGAGCATAACATGTAATCATTTTTGCAGCCCAATACAATGTGTAAGTTGAGCTATTTTGTGGTGTTGCCACTTGTTCGTTGTCTTCCATTTTGTAAAGGGCTGGCTCCCTGCGCGCGCACTCTCCCGGTGCTCTAATTGGCGCGCGCACTCTTGTGTAAAGGTGGAGCCTTGGCACATCGGCTCGGAAGAAACTTGTGCGGTCAAAACTTTGACAAACATCGTTAAATGTCTGTCACATAGCTAAAAAATATTTAAAGTGCATGTTGCTCAAGAACTCTCCCAATGTCTGACGAGGCAGAGGAAAGCGACAGCGGCGAGAGAGGGCATCTCTCTGAGTCTCCCTCCCCGCCTCTGTCCATCTGTCTTCCCCGAGGATCTCCTTCCTCTCCACGGCCCCTGGACCTCTTCTCCTCCGCCTCTCCTCTGCTGGGGGACACAGACCCGCCTTACCTCGCCTCTCCGGAGTGTCTTCACCCGTCACCAGAGAGCCCGGAGCCTGGGGACTCCCCACACCTCACAGCGCCAAAGTTCCAGGGCACCGGGGACACCGGCTCTCCGTTTCGTTCGCGGTACGGTGTGCGGATAGATGCTGCGTGCGACCACTACGATGAGCCGTTCCCCAAGTGGAGAGGACGAGGAGCGGTGAACGCTGAGCTCGTTCAGCACCGCGGACAGAGACTCCAACGGACTCCGGAGCTCTCGGGCCACGGGAACCACTACTCTGTTGAACACGTCGACACAGAGTTCAACTCCGACAATAGGCAAACGTGAGTTATCATTTTATATTCACCCACAACTTTTTTCATCTATCCAGCCTCATAATAAATAAGTAAAGTGACCAGTTTCGCGGCCTTGTTTAGTACAGGCGCTTATTTGCAAACTGCAATTTGCAGTTATGTAAAGAGGCTGCTGAGCGATAGTTTAGACATGACAAAGCTATTCTGGGTTGAGAGAATTTAATCAAGAGCAACTAATCCACCTGGAATGTCAACAGTTAGAGGTCAGTTTTGGAGAGGGTGGAGAAAAGCAGCCGTTTTTACCTGTATTCACCTGTTAGTGCAGCTGTGAAGCAGTAATGGAGACTGTGCTTTACAGGTTCTTCATGGTTCGGGCTGTGATGTACAGTAGATTAGTGTTATTTGAAGATCATCATGTATTTTTCTGTCATGCACTTTTTAACTGTTGTCCCTTCTAAAATAAATCTTTGCAGAAGGTGCATTAAGTCTGTATTAACTAAGTCATGTTTACATTTTTTTTGCTGTTATTTTTACTTAGCTTGTGTTAAAGGATGGTGTTTCTGCCTAGGATATTAGTTTCGTCATAACTCGGATGTCTCTTTCCCTCTCCCACCTCATTCTAATAATCTGACTGTGTGTGGCAGTTGTGGTCAGACTGTAGCTGTCCCTTGTGAATGCATTTACAGTATGTACAGCATGTATACCTAAGGAAGTGCAGGGTATGTGAATTAATTAGTGTGTCTTTTGGGGTTTTCCGGCTACAGCCCTTATGTTGTCTTTGTGTTGGGAGAGAGCATCTTGATTGGTTCCGGTGCATGAATGCATAAGCAGAAGCCTGCAGGGACTGTTTGTCTGTGTTTTGTGTTGGTCTTAGTGAGAGGGAGACACTGGGGCAAAACCATGTGACACTGAGCTGGAGCAGACAACAGAAATCAGCTTGCACAGTACATCCCCCCAATGTCACACTCATCATGCACACTAAACATGCACAGAAAACCCTGATTGTCAACCTCCTTGCCATTTTGCAAATGTAGTGTCCTATATGCAGGACACAAATAGTGACACTTAATGGATATTCATGTAGAATTGCCCGCTTAGCTGTGACTATCAGATTTTGGGAATGGCAGGCCTCAGAGTTGGGTCTTTGATCTTCCCTGGTCTGCTCCTTTGATATATCTTAAAAGGCCTTGCATGTAAAAAAAAGCATGTATGCTCCCACCGATGCTTGACAAGGTTAAATGTTGGATGCCTTTGTGTGTGTGTGTGTGTGTGTGTGTGTGTGTGTGAAAGAGGGTAAGTGAGGATGAACATGCCTGTTTCTCATTACCACTGAAATATGGTAAGCGATTCACCTTTGATCTTAAAAAAATGGCAATTTACTGCTTGAAAGAGAGTGTGTGTGTGTGTTTGTATTTGATAAACAGAAGGGGAAAGAGAGGCATAGAGAGAGCTGAGAGTGTAACTCTTCTTAAATATTCTGCTCATGTCTGTGGACTGATAAAGTGCTAATTCATTAGTCCCTTCTGTAAATAGAGTCAAAACGTCTCTCATTATGCTCAAAATTTGGTTTTTAAACTTGACTCATCTTCTTTTCTTTTTCTCTAGTTCACCGGTAAATTACCAAACCTAGTTGACTGCTTAACTGAAAATAATGAATTTGGGGACCCAACCGTAGAAAGTTCAAGCTGTAGAAGACACCAATTCAAAACTGATTATAAAGAGACAGACATTGAATGAGATTTTCATTGAGTGCCAAAGCTGTTGGCTACTGAAAGTGTTTGTTTTCCAAAAAGTGTAAAGGTACTTTCTATGTGCTAATATTCATCGATCTGAATAATACTATGTTGACTGCAAAAAGTAGTACATCTTGAGTTTTGCTCGTTTTAGATAAGTAGTATTATCACTTACACAGCAGACTGTCATTCAAAAAAAAAATCACAAGTTTCTAGATGTGTTTACTTCTTCCATCCAGGTACGCTTTTCATTTAGTTGAGTGCAACATTTTTAACATAGGTAGTCGGGTACAGTGGGCACTGTCTTCTTGGCTTGATACCTCAACAACAAGCTCATGATAATTACTCTCTGGCTGTCAGCTGAAATTTGAACATAAGTTGTTGACCGTTGTTTATTCATGCATTTAATAAGCTGCTAATCATAAAGTTTCAGAAGTCAGAACTCTTCAATGGCACGTAAACATACAAAAATGTAACTCAAATTGAAGTAATATGTAGTATAGCTAACTGATTATTTTTCTTTAATGGGTTAAGTATTTTACATTAATATGCTTGCCAATATGATTTATTCCAAATACAATATCATTGATAGGAAGCTAAGCTGGATAAGAGAGGATTTCTGCAATAGCGTGGTGTAATATAGTTGAAATCACCGGTGGTGCAAGCTTCTCCTTTTTCTTACAGTTTTGTTGTTAATAGGAGGGGGAGCTACTTCCTTGGACAGGAGCCCCAAGTGATCGGTGCAGTGTGTGCTTAGGGATTAAAAACTGTTAAAATATGGCGGGTTGCTTCAAACAGTCCATTACCACAAAAGCAAATGGTGTGTGAAAAGGTTGCCAATGCTGCTGACCTCACTACGAATCATGACCATCTCTGCACCCCATTCCGACTTTCAGTTCATTATTTTGATTCTCCTGTCAGTAAGGTTGAATCCACACTCCTTTTACACAAGCTGACGGTATGCTACCTGCTTAATGTGAAATGGTGGAGAGCAGAAGTAAGTGAGGACAGTCAGAACATCGAGCAAGATATATAAACCCAGATATTTTTTCTTGGGTGTTTGTGAATATTGGGCTCACATTCAACAGGTAGGCTGAGACGAATATATTGGGGTTGGGTGGAGCATGATATAGGTGCATTTTCTAAAAAATGGTAGTTAAAGCTCTTCTTGCTTTAGCTGTAGTATAACATCATGTTCTGCTACACCCATGTGGGAAAGAACGTCTGGTGGTCCTGGTTGCAACAATGGTAATGTGTGAAGAATATGAGCAGACATACAGTACATATACACAATCCCTTCTTCACTCTCCTTTTTCTTCTCGTTCATCTCTGTCTCTTTCTTTCTCCCCCGCACACACACGTGCACGCACGCACGCACGCACACACACACACACACACGCACAAACACACTCTTTCTCTCCATCTATACATCTCCATTGTGTCTGCCTCCTCCTGTCATTGTGACTGTAATTCCATTCAGAAATGATGCAGGTAAATTCTCTTTCAGTTCAGAATCACAAATAGTCAGAGATTGATGGAGAGGAAGATAGATAGAGATGGAAAATGGCGATTAATTACGTGACTATAAGGTTATCTAAACAGGCTTGCAGCCAGACTGTCCCCTCATTTATAAGGAATCCTCCCAATGCTTACAAAATATGTCCGTGAGAGTGTGTATGTGTGATTGTGTGTGGACATGGGGGCTTAGGGAGATATTAGGTACATCCTACAGCAAAATGCATTGTAGTAAGTCAACAAACAAACAAACTATAGCCTTAAGAAGCAAATACCTTATATTGTTATTAGCTGCATAAATAAAAGGCAGTATTCACTGCATGGCATCACATTTTACAAATGATCAAAGCTCTTGAAAAATCATCTCTTCTGAGAACACATCCTCTTATAACACCTCTAACCCCTAACCTCTGACATGCACTTCCTGTGTTCTTTTTCTCCTTGCAATTTTCAAAAAGCTCATCCATTTCCCTAAACTCTACACACAAATCACATCATTTCTTATTGCCTACACCCTGCGGTCATTTAGAAAGCATTAACATTCAGTATCGTTCACTCATATCAGCAAAGCTTGAGCTTTAGCACACAACTACCAAGGTGGAAACACAAAGTATCGTAATTGATAACACACCAATCAGAACCTTCAATAGAAAGACAAAAGGTCCAGAGTCAGTTCATTCAGTTTTGGATTAGGGAGAGAAGGACGTGTAGGAGGAGCAGAGAGAGGAGGTTGACGTGGAGGAGGAGTAGGGATATGGGGACGAGGTGAAAAGGAAGGGGAAGGAGGTGGAGGAGGATGCAAATCTCCGGCTTGTCACAGACCAAAGACAGGATGTGGGGCAGGATAATTTGTTGTTTGGTGTGTTCAATTCAATATTCAATTCAGTTAAATTTTATTTATATAGCGCCAAATCACAACAACAGTTATCTCATAGTGCTTTTCATAAAAGAGCAGGTCTAGACCAAACTCTGTGATGCTATTTACAGAAACCCAAAAATTCCCACCAAGAGCAAGCACTAGGCAACAGAGGCAAGGAAAAACTTCCTTTTAAGAGAAACCTCGAACAGAACCATGGATCAGGGTGGGTGGCCATCTGCCTTGACCGGTTGGGGGTGAGGGAGAGTAAGAGAGAGAGAAAGAGAGATAGCCATAAAGAGGGAGCGAGGGATGGGGGAGGGGAGGAAGGGGGAGCAGTCTACACAATATAGACACAGAGGTACAGACAGTAAATGTAATGTTGGTACGGACTGAATGAATAATGGTACAGATATTTATAGTAATGTTTATAATAATAATCATAATGTTAATGATAATAATAACAATAATAAAATAAATAGGACTACTAAAAATAATTGTAGCAGAGAATGTCGAGCAGGAACACAAGGGCAACAGGTGACTCGCAACTACAGATCCAACTCCACAGCTCCAGAGCCAGAAACACCTGCAGAAAGTGATAGAGAGGAGAGGGACGAGAAAGCACAAGACTATGGGAAAGAGAAGAAGTGAAGTTAGTAACATGCGTTAATGGGATTAGGTTGCATAAAGAGGGAGAGCATAACTAAGAGACCTGAGCCAGCCCTAACTATAAGCTTTATCAAAAGTCTTAACACTATGGGAACGGACTGACCCGGTACGGGGGACGTAATAAATTTTCGCTGTTCTAGCTGTTTTCCGCACAAAAACACGCTTTGTATCAACAGAGATCGTCTGGCGGGCCGCCATCTTGGTGAGGTCGGCTGCGGTCTTAAGTTTTGTTTGTGTCACCAGATATAAGTGCAGAAGAATAGTGTAATTTGGCGGAGGCGATCTTTATTGGCCTCTGCTGGCGACCCGTAGGAGCTACACGGACATGCAGGATATGCCTGAAATCGTTTCATCGAGACGAACAAAATCTAAGATCTGTTCTCAAGCTGTGGGCCTGTAAAGCATGGGAGTGCTTTTGGTCATATATATTGACTGTTTTTATCAATATTTCAATGTTTTGAAAGCTTTGTTATTTGGAATGTGGTTGTATGGAGAGAAATAATGTTTTGAAGATAACTACCAATAAAGTGAACATATAAAATATGGCAAAAACATGGACATTTGCCTGGTATATTTTTTAAAGATTGTGTAATAACTGTTGTATATCAGTTTCTTTTCATCAAATTTACAGTTACAGTTGTATTCTAGGTGTATTAGAAGATATTGAGGTGCATTATAATCTACCTTAGGATGGTTTTGATGGTTTATTGCATCATAATAAAGCTTTTTTTTACCAGGCGACGATGAAAATATTATATTTTTTCCGTATTTCATATCCATGTAGTCTGTAATGGTAAAATAAATATGTTAATCTACAATGGATTTATATTGCTTAGCTTCTGACCAGAATGGAGAGGAGACTTATGCATCTAGGCCTAATGGTTGAGGAGATATTACTGATTTATTTTGGGTATGTTATTTTAGGCATTTTTCCTAGAAATAGGTGCCAGGTACCATTAAGCCTACTCTTAAATGTGTAGATGGTGTCTGCCTCCTGAACCCAAACTGGAACCTGGTTCCACAGGAGAGGAGCTTGATAGCTGAACGCTCTGGCTCCCATTCTACTTTTGGAGACTCTAGGAACCACAAGTAACCCTGCATTCTGGGAGCGCAGTGCTCTGGTGGGGTAGTAAGGTACTATGAGCTCTTTAAGATAAGATGGTGCCCGACCATTAAGAGCTTTGTAGGTGAGAAGAAGTATTTTAAATTATTTTATGGATTTTACGGGAAGCCAATGCAGAGAAGCTAAGACAGGAGAAATATGATCTCATTTGCTAGTTCCTGTAATTCTGGATCATCTGAGGAGCCTTAATGGACTTTTTTGAGCAGCCTGATAATAAGGAATTGTTATCAAATTCTAGGCAGTAATCTAGCCTAGAAGTAACAAATGCATGGACTAGTTTTTCTGCATCATTTTTATACAGGATGTTCCTGATTTTTGCAATATTACATAGGTGAAAAAAGGCGGCCCTTGAAATTTGCTTAATGTGGTAGTTAAGGGACATCAAATATAACTCCGAGATTCCTCACAGTGGTGCTGGAGGCCAGGGTGATGCCATCCAGAGTAACTATATCTTTAGATAATGCGTCACGGAGGTGCTTGGGCCCCAGTAAAATAACTTCACATCTGAGTTTAACATAAGAAAATTAAAGGTCATTCAGGTTTTAACATCCTGAAGGCACATTTGGAGTTTAGCTAACTGATTAGTTTCATCTGGCTTGATTAATAGATATACTTGAGTATCATCTGCATAACAATGAAAGTTTATGGAGTGTTTCTAAAGGAAGCATATATAAAGGAAGCATATATAAAGTGAACAGGATTGGTCCCAGCACAGATCCTTGTGGAACTCTACAACTAACTTTGGCGTGCATGGAGGATTCATTGTTAACATGTACAGAGATTGATCTGATGAATAGGACTTAAACCAGCTTAGAGCGGTTCCTGTAATGCCAATTAAATGTTCCAGTCTCTGTAATAGGATATGATGGTCAATGGCATCAAATGCAGCGCTAAGATCTAATAAAACCAGTACAGAGACAAGTCTTGGTCTGATGCAATTAGGTCATTAGTAATTTTCATCAGTGCTGTCTCTGTGCTATGATTAACTCCTGACTGAAAATCCTCAAATAAACTATTGCTGTATAGAAAGTCACACAGCTGTTTGGCAACTGCTTTCTCAAGGATCTTAGAGAGAAATGGAAGGATCAAGGTTGGGCTTTTTCCAGAAGCTGTATAGTACACCAAGGAATACAGGAATACAATTTTGTTGAGTTCATCATGTGAAAGGGTTTTTGAGGGTGAGAACCACAAACGAACATTATTTATAACCAACCCTTGTAGAATTGTTTTGAATTTATCTCATGTGTGCAAGACTGTGTTATAGTGTATGTGTGTGTGTGAAAATAGGATGTTTTGGGAATTTGGTGAGAAAAAGAGGCACAATTTCAAGAATTGTCTATGAAGATTCTCAGTCATCCAGGTCATAGTTATCCGACGAAGGTTAAAATCAAGGGCAACTGCACTTGGTTGAAGATACTGGAAGACGTTTCGTCCCTCATCCAAAGGACTTCTTCAGTTCTGACTGACTGGCAGGGAAACTCAGCTATTTAACCTCAGTGGGGTCGTTGGCCCGGGACATCGATACCGCTGGTTCGTTAGTGTTCCTTGTTGCTGTGACGACAGTTGTTACAGTCGTTAAGACTACCTGTGGCCAAGACTGAACGACCATCGTTGGTATCTTCACCTGAGGCCAAAAAAAAAAAACTCTAATTACACTATATGTTAACTTACTTCTTTCCCTAGATATTTAACCCATTGATGCCGTACATGCTAATAGCTCTCACTAGTATTTATTGCTGCTAGTATCTATTGGCACTTGTAGATCTCCTACTTTACTGATGCTTTATTGTTGCTTATATGTTGTTACTCAAATGTAAGTTGCTTTGGATAAAAGTGTCTACCACATGAGCAAATGTAAAGTTAAACTGATGGTTAAGGTTGTGAAATGGCACGTTGTTAACTTTGTGAAATGTTGCAATTTGATGAGGTTTAGGCACCAAAACTATTTGGTTAAGTTTAAGAAAACCTAACCAACCACATGGTTTGTGTTAATAACGTTAAGTAACGTTACTTAGGTAGCATAACTAAAACACCTTATGTTGACTTTTTGTTTCACATGGGAAACAAACACTGGTCTCCTTGGTGAAAGTCCGGTTTCTGACCCACCCTCCACCTCAACCACGCACCTATTTTTAGCATTCAAAAACGATGCTAAAGGGCTTCACACTGCAGTCAAACTGACACTGTGGCCTTGACTATGTGTCCAGCTTGTTGTGCAAATCGAAAATAAAGAGCTGCACTTTAAAACGCACACTGACAAACACACACTCTCCCTCAATCTCTCTCTCTCTCACACAATCATACACACACTCTCCTACGGTGATTTGCATTGGTGAGCTCTCTTTATCTTCTCAGTTTCACTTCTTTTGACGCCCCGGGGGAATGTTTCGATCATGAACAGGTTTCCATTTTCACCTTTTCCTTCAATGTCCTTCTGAGCTTATACACACAGACAAGCAAATTAAGGGAAATTATAAACCTGAATAACAACCTAACCAGGCTTTATTATTTTTGGCATTATTGTGTATGTGTCATTTGTAAGGTCACTGCACCAATTCAGATAACATAAAAGAGCAGAAATGATATTAAAAATCTTGGGGCAGTCTTTAGTATGGACAATACAAGTCAATTATGCTTATTCAAGCTGGTGTGATTCCTTTAGTCCACTCAACAAGAACTGTTTCAATTGCGCTTTGAGCTACATGTTATCATTTTAGCATTTTAGAAATTAAACCTTTAGCCTAAATTGGTTATTACATACTGCAGAACTAAACTGGGTAATCATTTTCATTACTGAATTCCCATTCCCACTTTTCATTTCAAAACCTACCCATATGCAGTATCTCTTCCTCCACTCCCACACTGTCACTCAACATTTCTTCTCCTCTAATTTTTACAGCTTTGGGGAACATCAAGCCTTTTTCAATGTGTGGGTCAGAGTCTCAGGCTGAGGAGAAGCAGACATTGTGACAGCTCTTTGTAACTCTAAAATACAATAGGAGGAGCATTTTCCAGGAACAGGGCTAATTACCAGGGCTTCTGTGAAAGGTAAAGATTTTTTACCTGCTCTGTCCTGCTGGGATGTGACCGTGTGTCACTAGAAATAGTGTTCCATTTAAGAAGAAAAACAAATTAAGACATACTGAATAGTAGCAACATGTTAATGTCTGTGTGAAATGCATGTGTCGATGCAGATTCACCACTGGCAAAAGAGTCTCTTTGGATGACCACTAACTCATAGTGTGAGTCGTGCCATAGCCAATTGAGGTGACAGCTTCATCTCTCGCTTGCCAATCAGAGCTTTTGACCTGAGATGGCCCCACATTGAGCTTCGACCTTGGTAGCGGATCATTGATCTGGCCAGAGACAGATAAATCAAAGATGTCTTGGTGAAGCTTTCTCTTGGGTCAGGGGAGAAGTCTGTGTTAAGCACTGTCCACGTAAGACAGTAATGACTTTGTTAGTCTTGTTACACCATAGTCAGTTGTCTTTTCCTCTTGCCTCCATAATTTGATCTCAGCTTTTCTTCATCCTCCATCCTTTACTGTCTCCAGGGTGGAAGCCATGCATCGCCGGCACACCACACTAAGAGAGAAGGGGCGTCGCCAGGCAGTGCGGGGCCCAGCCTACATGTTCAATGAACGTGGCTCACCGCTCACTGCGGAGGAGGAGCGTTTTCTGGATGCTGCTGAATATGGAAACATTCCTGTAGTCCGCAAAATGCTGGAAGAGTCCAAAACCCTTAACTTCAATTGTGTGGACTACATGGGCCAGAATGCTTTGCAGCTGGCAGTGGGCAATGAGCACCTAGAAGTGACCGAGCTGCTTTTAAAGAAGGATGGTTTGGCTAGGATCGGCGATGGTCTGCTTTTGGCTATCTCCAAGGGTTATGTTCGAATCGTTGAAGCTATTCTCGCACACCCTGCTTTCGGTGGAGGCCTCCGACTGGCTTTGAGCCCTCTGGAACAGGAAATGCGTGATGATGACTTTTTTTTTGCTTATGACGAGGATGGAACACGTTTTTCACATGACGTCACGCCCATCATCCTGGCTGCTCACTGCCAGGAGTATGAGATCGTCCACATCCTTTTGACAAAAGGGGCCCGCATAGAAAGGCCACATGACTACTTCTGTAAGTGTTCAGAATGTGTGGAGAAACAGAAGATTGACTCTTTTAGTCACTCACGCTCCAGGATGAATGCGTATAAGGGCTTGGCCAGTGCAGCTTACCTGTCACTCAGCAGTGAAGACCCTGTGCTGACCGCCCTTGAGCTCAGTAATGAACTGGCAAGACTGGCCAACATCGAGACAGAGTTTAAGGTAAGGTCGTTTCAGTGTTTTTCCCAACATCTTTTTTGTTAATCAGTATTTTCCTTTTTTTTATCCCCGCACTATTTAATTCCCGAAAATACACAAACATACTGTTTTAAATGTGTTGGCGAAATGTTGACAGAAGATTACGCAGAGTGGTGTAAGGAAGGAAGGTGAAAAAGAGGGAAGTTCTTCTTCAGAAGACACACACAATACATTTGATTTAAAGACTTGAAAGAATGATAAAACAGGTATACCGTAAATGTGTGTAATTTATCACTTTATGTATAATTATAGTCGCATTCACAGGTTCTATCTTTATTTTTTCATGAGTTTAGGCAGATATTTGCCAATGTTTCAACCCTTTCCTGCTAATGATTCAACTTAGTCACTAGAATAGACTTCCCAGTGCACTCCCAGCTTTATATTACTCCTCTGATCTACCTAATAACAATGCAATCTCTCCTCAGGGTGTGATGAAGATTGTTTAATGAAAAGTGTGAGAGATTTTTGAGAACTTTTGGAGGAAAAATACTAAGATAGACTGTGTGTGGAGAAAATGAAGTTGCTCATATGTGTAATAGTTTATGATGTTGTTTGATCCAGCCACTACACCTCATAGCAATCCACACCAAAAGAGGAACAGACACATTATAGACATACTTGGGGTATATACCAATGCCACCAATTGACCAGTATTATAAATATAGTATATATATATCCTGTAATATCATGTTTTAATAAAAAATATATATAATCATAGTTTATAATCACAGCTTGCTTAAAATCATTAATTTGGAGTATATATTATAGGATTATGATATACATTTTAACGAACCTTAAGTTACAGGTTTCACTTCAGAGTGGCCAACACTGCTCAGCTCTCATTGATACATAATTACATGATTACATAGTGAATAATTTTTATAGTCAAGATTATTAATAGCATGCGTGATCATTTAATTGAACCAATTAAAAAATAATAGTCAGTCAACATTGCCGGTTCTTTGCTTATTTATTTTTACCCTCCGCATTGTGTTCACTTCTGTCTGCCCACCTTTGTGTTTATCATTGAGCCTTTCTGCTTGTCATTCTGTTTCCTGTCTCCAGACACGTTAATAAGAAGGGCTCACCTGAGGGACCAGAGTTGTGTTGGAGCTCATCTGTCTCATTACCATCTCATTATCACCACCCAGTCTTCTCTCTTTATTTGACTCCCTGCCCATCTTCCCGTCATCCTTTCATTACTTTTAAAAATCAAATAATGTTAAGACAGTCTGCCAATAGCCTTAAACAGTCCTGTTGCACATGAAGAAATCAAACATGGGGAATAAACATTGAGGCACCACATCACTACAAAGAATCTAACATGAGAACGAATTAAACATTACTTTATGTCATACCCAAGCACAAAGAATTTAAACATGAGATTTTCAATGATGATACCAAAGCCACCATGTTTTTGAAGTTTGTGTTCCAAAAACTTCAAATGTCTGGTATGATATCAATATCAAAAGCCTACAGTATTTCCCTCATGATGATGCAATGTTTTCCATTTTTCCATTTTCGTTGTTCTTGTTTTCTGTTCTGTTATACTTTTTTAGCGCTAAACAATGTCTGTCACAATCAAGTCAACATTAGTTTTCTAAATGTTTTGTGTTTCCTGTGATGGACTGGCAACCTGTCCAGGGTGTACCATGCCTTTCGCCCAATGTCAGCTGGGATAGGCTCAAACCCCCCCGCGACCCTGTACGCAGGATAAGCGGTTGACAATGGATGGATGGATGGATGTTTTGTGTTTGTATCATCTTTGTTAAATCAATCTTGTCACAATCTCTAATCCCTAATACTGCCCTTCAATGATTTGCTTAATAGTTGTACAAAGAGGTAACCTGAGCTCATAAGTGAAAATGGCCTTAAGGCCCGGACACACTAGGATGGCAACATTGGCAAAATTTTGCTGTGCAATAAATTAATTCCATTGGAATGGAAAAAGTCCAGTGTGTAATATTTAGGAGGATCTATTGACAGAAATGTAATATAATATACATAACTATGTTTTCAGTGGTGTATAAAAACCTTACATAATAAACTGTAATAAGCCATGGGTCACTTACATGGAAGTCGCCATGTTGCGCTGCCATGTTTCTACAGTAGCCCGAATGGACAAACTACTCTACAGAGTACGACGAAGGAGGAAGAAGATGAATAAGAAGTAGTAGCAGTAGTAGTAGTAGTTGTCTGGTTTATTAGAAGTAAGAAGAGACATAAAATCTGGAGAAATTGGAGGACCACACGTATTATTTAGAATTATAGACAGAGCTGTCAGCTACCACAGCTCCTCCTACTGTGTTGGAAATGGAAGGGTGAGAAGTGACTGCTGATGCATTCATGAGGTGTCGGAATTATCAGATTTTTTTCCTCCTTAAATCTTTATTGCAAAAAGAGTAATAAAGTGTTCACAGGACATAAAGAAGGAAACAGAACAGTATACAAATGTATAAGAGGACACAGATAATAAAAACTTAGCCAGTGGAAGTTGGATTTAGAAAATTAAATTGATATAATGTACAACCTCATGGAGGAAAGGTACAAAGTTTTTACTGCTGAATGTGGAAGTATATAGGGGACTAAATTACAATTATCATGCAAAATGTAATCCCACAATAACATTATCATTTTCCACATATGTGTTATTTGGGTAAAAATTATCATTTTCATTTTCACATACTTGTGTGAGCATTCTAGGACCATAATAAAATGAAAATGGAAACAAAATTTGACATTTCAAGACTTAGTCTGCTCTATAGTGGAATATATTCAAATACAATGAGTGAAACAGCGCCCCCCAGTCTATTGCATTTACATGTCCATGTGCTCATGGTCTTTTTAGGTCAAAATTAAGATTAAAATGCCATTTTCTAACTATGTGACAATGAAAATGGAAACAGCATTTGACATTACATTTTCAAAGACTGACTCTGCTCTATAGTGGACTTTATTCAAATGCAATGAGTGAAACAACGCCCCCAGTCTATTGCATTGCATTCACATTTGCAAGCAGCTTTCCAAGGGACACAATGAAAATGAAATCTGTCAGTCCGCTCATCAAGGGGGGTCCTCAGTAAAGACTTCACTTCCTCTTGAGTTGGAAGGCCACTTCAGGTTCTCATGGTTCAGTTGTGTATCTACCATTACACAACACTAGGCTGTAACTTCACAACCAAATGAAATCTATCATTCGAACAGCTCAAGGATGGATCTATACCGACTTCAAACTTGGAACCTGTAAGTTGTGCCATTTTTATGTAGCCTTTCTGTTTTTTTGAACACTTGCCTGTTGAACTTGGCGTTAGCATATTCTGCAGCTAATGTGGCTAACTGTAACGTCAAGCTGTTTCTGTTGTGTATTGTGACATTAAGACCACACGCCGTCGCCTGTATGTGTGTCTGTTGCTGCAGTAGCCTATGTAAGTTTACCTGGTCGATGCATGGCACGTGCAAAAGACGTTAACTTGCTCATACCCGAAAGCTGTAACATCAGTGTCCTGCTGGGCAATGTCAAGCCCAGGCTAATACAAACCCATTCTCATTCAGAGATATACTTCACATTACTGCAATACTAGTATTAGTGACAATACCGCAGCTCTGTCACAGTTAATGCTATAGGAACAGTCAGTCTGTCTGTCATATCAACTACATAGCTGTAATAATACAAACTTGAGATGATATTATATATAAAAATGAGTACACATAGTCAAGTGCAAGCAAACACCACTTTCTCACCCACTGGCACACACACACAACCTGTCAGAGTGCTGCTAGTGGCGCACGTATCAGGACCTCCCTAACATTCAACATTTATCTTCAGACATCTTACTTTTCAAGACAGCTCATCTGGACACACACACACACACAGCTGCCACATACCCTTAGGAGAGACAGAGAGAGAGTGAAAAGAAGGTGGCCGAGGGTGTCATTTTGTTATTTTAATCGCTTTTTACCGATTTTGTTCTTGGGTCAGTCCAATATTAGTTTAAATTAGGACACACAGCGACAGAGAACGCAGAAAAAGAGGTACACTGAAGGTGGTGAATGTCCACTGAAGTGCAGTATTACCAACCCTCTTTATCCCTCTCTTCTTCTCATCCCACCATCTTACATCCCCTACCCCAACTCCCCCCTCCATGCTTGAGGTTTGGCTCCTGCCCCCTTCAGTTCGCTCATCTGTAACTATTTTCACTCTGCTTCACACTGCTGTGTCTCCATTTTCAATCTCACAACATCATTCCCCTTCCTTTATCTTGGCCCCCGAGGCACAAACCACATACCTTGAAATGTGATTTGATTTTCACATATACTGAATGTGTGTGGTGTCTGTGAGTGTCTGTTCTTGGTGTGTGTCTTATGATGCAAATATCATTGAGTAATAAAAGCAGTTTTGCACTTGTATTACCCTGAAGCCTTGCCTTTTCCTGAATGTAAACAGTGATGAGATTGTAATAGATTACTTTCCCAACACAGCCTAAAGGTAACACACACTGTTTCCTTCATGTCCCCAAAGGGCCAATAGATGCTTGCTGCCATTGCTTGATGCCCAGAATTGACTTTTCAATTTGCAGATAGTGATAGGCCTTTTTATCAACCTTATGCCTGTTGGGTGAGAATTTTTTTTCTATGAAAAATCCAAACCTGATGGGCGGGATTTTAAAACTTATATATTGCAGCTGTGAGTACAAACACGTTGTGACTGCAAAAAAAATGATAACACCATTTTATATTCATGACTGACACTGTTCACGTCATACTAGAAAGGAACTCCCTCTCTAAAAGGGTCAAACACTGGAGGAATGCAAATGATGTTCATGGTCACAATGGGTAACCCAAAATATAGTAAATGCTATACAAACATACCTAATTATTCCATACAGCAAAAGTGTACCCTAAGGCAAAGTGAGAGTAGAACTGGTCATTGTTTGATTTTGCTGGGGAGACCATCAAAAGTGTAGATGAAAGTAGGCATTATCAACACACTGTAATGGTATGTTTGAACACAGAACAAACAAGGAGGGTGAAGAATCAGTCCTTAGGGACTCTAAACCTGCCAAAAGCTCCAATCTGCTGACTGTTTCCCTGCTCGACCAACTGTTGAGGAACAGAACAAGGCATGAGGGCGAGTGAAGGCAGTGCAAGAAAGAAGGGTAAAATTTTAACTCTGGGCCACAGGGAAGAGGGGCAGAGAGTTGAAACTGGAACAACTGGTGAAGGACCAAGGGGAGAGAGGGTTGATAGGGCTGACAGGAACTCTAGTGAAGTAGGCAAAGCAGCTAACTGCCAGGGTCCCAGAAGTCAAAGCTCAATTCAAATGATGCAAACACTTGGATGAGGAAGAATGGAGCCCCCCAAGTCCCAAAAGATTATGTTTTTTGTTTTGTGCCCACAAGTTATTTTCTCGATAGAAGATAGAAAATCCTCTTTTAGGATTTTGGTGGCTCTGTAGGATTAGGGTGCCATTTGTATTTATTTGCAGTTCTCAAAAAGTGCAGCTACAGTTTTAGCTTAAAATGGCAACAAAAAGGTGTAAGCAACAAGAGTGATGTTTCCATTAGAAAAACAGATGGAAAACACACACCCATCTTTGTGAAGTGCTGGCTCACAGGAAGTCATTAAAAAAATGTGTATGGAAATCCACATTTGTACACTTGTATCATCTTATAAAGATCCAAATTTCAGTCAGTAAGTTCAAAGAACCATTCTAGTTTGTTGTTATTGTTTTCTTATGTTCCTGAAAATGTGAATGTTGACAGTATCCTGTTGATTGTGAGTATAAAGTCAGTGAGGTGACTGTTGTTAGACTAAAGCAAGGTGTTTGCCAAAATGTCAATCTTTTTAAGTAGAAAAAAGTGTTTTTGCAATTAAATGTATACACATTTATCGATTTTGAAAACATTGGCAAAATAAAATGCAAATTAGTGTTCCCATCGACAACTAATGCAAATATTCTTAAGAGAGTGCAACAAGACTGCAACAGGAATTCTAAATCCATGGCATTCCTTTGTTGCTTCCCACATAGGAAGACAATTATATGCAATCACTGAATGAAAGGATCGCTCCCCTGTGTTCACCTTTCCTCCTTTTCCTTCTTCTTATCTTTGTGGTGTTTTTCTCAGATCTTTTTATTTTTTGTCTTTCTGGTAAAGTGGTTACTTTGCAATAGTTGGGATTTGACTATCAGGCATTTCCATTAAGTTTATTTATGTGCAAATTCAAACAATGCATAAAATCAGGTGGATGGGAATGTACTGAATGACCATTTGAAATCAGCATAACAAAAGCAAAGTGGATCCCTTATTTAGCTTTATATTTTCCAATGGGAGAATACTGTGAGAATGATTATTTTATTATGACAGTGACAGCTTACATCAAATTTGCTTGGCTGTTAAGATAAAACAAGTCAAGTGGACTCCCTTCGTGGGCAAATATCATTTATAAAGACAATCCAGCAAAAGGTCATGAAGCAAATCACAGTATCATCCTTTCAGTTTTACATTGGAGCCATATTATAATTGCAAATGAAAATAAATGTCTCTACATTTCTGACCAAATAACAGTGTGATATCCAAGCTCATGCAGGTAAGGACCCAAGGGGGGCAGCTGCAGGCACAGTCACGATTTGATAAATCTTCCCTCTCATGATGCTTGCAGTTATAGATTTGAAGAATGTTGCATTGTCTAAAACCAGGTGTTTACATTAGTTGATGTTTAAATTCTGTTTTAAGTTAAGTTTCTCCTCTCTCTGCATCCTTGTCCTTTCTTCCATCTTTCCTCTCTCCCTGTCTCTTCCCTCCCCACAACTATTCACCTCCACCCCTGACTCATGCAGAATGACTACCGTAAGCTGTCCATGCAGTGTAAGGACTTTGTGGTAGGTGTGTTGGACCTTTGTCGGAACACAGAGGAAGTGGAGGCCATATTGAATGGCGACGTGGACCAGTGCCCTCCAAGCCCCTACAACCGACCCTGCCTCAGCCGTATCAAATTGGCCATCAAGTACGAAGTCAAGAAGGTAAGAAGACCAAAAATAACTGATTATTCAACCATCTACTGTATGTAAAGAACTAAGTAGTTTCAAATGCATGTATAGTTAACATTTCGTAGTGAAAATTTTGTTCACATGCCATGAAATTACACAACATGTAAAACCTGAACCTACAGCATTATTCTAAGACCATCAACAATATATTGTACATACTGCACATTTTCGAGTGGCCTTTTATTGTGGCCAGCCTAAGGCACACCTGTGCAATACCCATGCTGTCTGATCAGCATCTTGATATGTCACACCTGTGAAGTGGATGGATTATCTCAGCGAAGGAAAAGTGCTGACTAACACATATTTTGACAGATTTGTGAACAATATTTGAGAGTAATAGGCCTTTTGTGTACATAGAGAACAGATGAGCTGATCTTTGAGTTCAGCTCATGATGAATGGGGGCAAAACCAAAAGTGTAAGCCAAGATAACCCTGATGATCTCACTATGATATAATTCTGGTTTATTTTAATGTCTTTGGTAAGCTACTCCAAAGCCACAGATGATATTATACAACTATTTGCAAGCTAAGTTTTACTGTCCATGACAACTAAACTTAATAAAGAATCACATCACATTACAAAATTCCTGTTCATGTCCTGTGTTATTTAGGATTATTTGGGTATATAATAATCTATGGATGTTTAAAATTATAAACTGCAATGAATGAACTGAATTTTAAATATTTCTTCAAAAGTACGTAAATTAGGCAGTACACAGCCTTTTCAAGCTTTGTTTTTATCCTGGAGAAGAGAACGTGACCAATACACAGAGAGCTAATTACACAGGAGACAAGGAGAGAGGGGGGGATAGATTGCTATGGAAACCAGGTGGATCATGTAGTGCATGTTGCTGGACACAGGCAAGGTTAATGTAATGGGTCAGTGGGTTGATAGATTGCACAGGACCCCAGTGGGAAACAATTTAAACTATAATTTAGTGAGCAATGTTTATAGGTGTGTGTCTTTTCCCTCTGCACATAGAAATTATTGAGTGCACATACAGTATACACACTGTGTGTGTGTGTGTGTGTTTTGAACAGCAGATGGGAGCAGAAGATGTCAATCATCAGCTCAGATATATGGTTTATAAATGTGATGGCCGAGTCTGATTGGTGAAGAGGTGGGAGAGATTGATGAATGGAAAAAACAAAGAGGCTAATGAAAATCAAGAGAGAGCAGATTCGACCAGAGGCAACCTGTTGCTCAGATCTTGTAAACGAAAACAATATACAAGAACAGGGTTTGATTATTACACTAGTTGACCTCCTACTGAGCATTGATTGCTCTGTTGTCCACCAGTGTTGGGCAAGTTACTCAGAAATTCAAGAAAATCCAGTTACTAGTTATTTATTACTCCTTAAAAAAGCAATAATATTACTTTACTTATTACTAGGTAATAAAAGTACCTACTTGCATTACTCTTTAAGCCACTATATTACTTTACAGTGTTTCCCACAGAATGTTACAAAATGTAACGTTTCATAGCACCACTCTCTCCCGATGAGTCCAAGCTTCTCTGGCAGTAATGGGGTTTCTTTCTATAAGTTTTAGGTTGCTGTGCTGCTTCAGCAGATGCTTCAATAAATTAAATGTAGAATTGTTCTCGGGTGAAAGCTTTTTGCTGGTCGCAGAGTTTACAGTAGACGACAATGTTCTTTGCATCTTAGACTGTGACGCAATAATGGCAGTAGCTATTTACAGCTGTGGAAAAAACGCCTCTCTCCCTCACTGACCTGAACAACATAAGGTCCGGTGCTGCTGACCTGCCGCACAGTCGCACATTCATGTCAAGGATGGCGCATTCAGTAACGCAGGAATGCAGTGTTACTTGGATTAATAACTGTAATAATATTACTGTTGTCCACATGCTTCCTACAGCTGGAACAAAAACATCCATCATCTCCCTCCTCACCAGACCAGTGGTTGCTTTCATTTATCACTTCCTTTCTTGGAGTAAAGACATCAACAGATGCTGAAATGGCAGACCAAGCCTTATCTAATAAAGCCAATATGCTTCAGTAATTAATGTAAACACTCAGTAATTTTCTGCCTGCTTTCTTTTGCATACTGTATGTTAAATTGATTTCCCAACCTGTTTGTTTATATTTTTTGTTCTGAATGAAGTCAAGTGGCAGCCAAATGTGTTGTGAATAATACATTTTGATTGTAATGAATAGACAATAGATGTTCTCCAAATAGAACAACAGGTTGCACACTCAGATACTTATGAATATTAAAATAAAGAGGTGCACCTGAGGCCCTCTTCATGGATATAGTATATTTTGACCTTATTCATTTTTTCGTCAATGCAGTAAGTGTACTGCATTGACGTAAACACAAGAAAGAACAATGTGTAGCATTGTAGCATGTGTAGTATTTTTCATGATAAATGTAGCACTTAGAGGAAAGAGACCAGTGTGCTCTTTACTATACAGAACACCTCCTTCTTAGTATCTGTTTTCTAATTTTAAAAACACAACACTATGCCATTCCATGGTATTTCAAGAAAAGAAAAACTGAATTTTCAGAGTTAAACAACAAACACCTTTACCACAGCACCATGGTCTAACTTGTGATTCAGTGGTGGAAGAAGTAGAAAATTATTACCACAATGTAAAAATAAGGAATTAAAGTAATTGTACTTCTAGGTGAAACTCCATATGTATCACCACCAACGTGTATAAAACAGACCATTACTAGTGCAGAATGGCACCTTTCAGAGTGTCATATATAGATGTTTTTTGTATTATTGGATCATTATTATTGATGCACGAGCTTGTTAGCAGCAGTTGGTAAAACCTTTAATAAAAGGCTCCAAATTGGTTTGTCAGATCAGATTTTTATACTCAATATACTTTGTTTTTTTTGCTAAATGTTGAATCCCTAGATAACAAACCTCTGCTGTCTGCCTGTTACATAAGCCACATTCTATCTGTTTCAATGTAGCCGCCACAGAAGTATTGTGTATTCCAATACCCACACTACCATACTATTTAGTATTCCAGAAAAGGATTTAATATTTCCTAATACATTGTCAAATGCAGTATGCCAAAAATACAAGAATGTCCTACTGCATCCGGTCACATTTGGCATAATGCACCCAGATTTCTGCCTATATTAACCCACAATCCTCTGCGCAGCATGAGTATGAGTAAATTCAAGGCGCAATGTTATGATGATGTAGTATGTTCCTATAGAATGCATGCTGTATGCAACAGTACGCGCTTTGTATGATGTGTCACTTCCTCTGATGATGTGTCACTTCCTCATTCCTCATTTTGACCAATACGGCACACTGATAGAAAACAACTCACCTCATTGGTAGGGATGAAATGGTTATGGTTTGTCTGTCTGACTTGTTAATTTTCTTAACAGTACATACAGGTGTTTGGGGGCAGTGACTAATCCACCATCACTTATCTTCTTAGGCCACACCCTCCCTCATTAAACAAATACACATCACCTGATACGCTTAAATCCAATAAGCATTCAACTTTATACAGCCTGGAGTTGTAAAATACGCATAAAAATGATGAGATGATCAAAACACTTGCTAGCCTAATAATTGTGCATGCAGTGTAGAATGTCGTAGAAAAGTTGAAAGTAAAGGTTTCATATATTTTAGATTCATTGCCTATAAAGTCAACTATTTCAAGACTTTTTTTGTTACGGCTTACAGCTCATAGAAATCAAAATTCAAAATATTAAAGGATTTTAGAATAAAGAATTTATAATACAGAAATGTTGACCTGAAAAGAACTCCAATGAGCTGATTATGTTAAACACCTGCAAAGGTTTCCTGAGCCTTTAATCTCTCAGCCTGGCTCAATGAAGTTCAAATGAACTTTTCCATGATATTCTGCACCTGCATGTCGGTCACAATGCATTGGTTATTTTAAATACATATTGCCATGTGAAATTCAGGTATTTTTATTATATACAAATTCTACAATATGGGATGTAGTGTTACAATGTTTGCGTGATGTGTTGCTGCAGTATAGACCACTCAAAGGATCTGTAAAACAATCAGAAAAAATGAAGTGATTGAGAGAGAAGAGCAAATTACTTTTGCTTCTGTGAAAATGTCCCAACTGATGGGTGTTAAGGTTGCTAATTGACCTGAGCACCCATCTCCTCTCCCTTTATTCTCCATTGACTTACATTTCTTGTCCTTGTCTCCCTCTCCAGTTTGTTGCTCATCCCAACTGTCAGCAGCAGCTAATGACTATCTGGTACGAGAACCTGCCTGGTCTGAGGCAGCAGTCAATTGGTGTGAAGTGCTGGACAGTGCTGGGGGTCACTGTAGGTCTCCCCTTCCTGTCTATCGCCTACTGGATAATGCCATGTAGCAAGGTATGAACACACAAACAAGCAGAAGACACAAACTCTGCCTTGTCCCCAGACCTTGAGATCTTTGTCCTACTATCACTGTTGAACCAATTTTATCACACACACAACCCTCAAATGTCTGGCCGTTTTCAAACATTCCTACATACCTCTATGCTTTAGCGACCCGCCACTTATATAATGTAGAATAAGCTTTATATTAATAGAATACTGCTTGTAAAGTTTTCGGAATATATTATTAACAATAACAAACTCATTTGCCTTTTTTTTTTTTCTATTTCAGCATAGCCTGTTACATTTCATGTTTAAACTGTAGTATCTTACACAAAGGCTAGTGTAACGTCTCATAGACTGACACCTTCCAAACCCAAATTAGTCAGCACAGTAATCAGAAATCAAAGTCACTTGCTGGTGGCCATTGGTTGTGCGTAGTGTACGGATGGACAGATGTGGCATCTCCAGTGTCTGAAAAAACTTGTATAGATGCATCAGCTTTTGAAAGGTTCTTGCACCTCTTTTCTCCAGCTATGTCCAAAACAGCTGAAGGCCAAGGACTTTCCAGGAAAAAACTTAGATTTGAAGATTTTCTGGCTGCTAAAGTTGGAAATTTGGCCCATTAAAACTACTTGCATGTTTATAGCAGCAAGGTTGAGGTAACTATATAAGCTTCCCTATCAGTCCTAACTTCTCGTAGGAATGCTACTTAAATGGTAACTTGACATAGTCCCATTCAGAGCTCATGTTGTCTGAGCTTGCTTTGTCATTGTCATGCTCCAGTTCTGCTATGAAATTATCTGATTAATAAATGACACGAAACTAATTTGTAATCATCAGTATAGTCACAGATATGTCTTAATTTCCAGAGCTATTGATAAACCCACAAATATCAAAGTTTTTTATTACTGTGTCTGTATTTATCCATAGTAACAACAGACAACAGCGCCATCACAAGGCCAAACAGGAAAACACAACATTTTCTGCTATTAACTTGCATCCAGCATACTGCAAATAAAAATATAACACTCTTACATACAACTAGTTCTCTAGCTACTCTATAAACGTTTTAGAGAAAACTCATTAGAAACAATGCATTTTCATATTTTGACTCTGTAATACACGAGAGTTGAGTGCTTAATTTAATGAATTAGACACTAGCCACTAAAGACCCGAGGTATGCATTTAAGGGTTAAGCGTACATGTTGCTGTTGTTTCTATGTATTATGACCTCTGAGAAGAATTTTCTTATTTTATGTTGTATCACCTATTTTTCTTGATACTGTATCACAGTATGTGGCAACATACTCCGTCTATAGTCTGCAAGTAGACCCAGGCAGCTTAAAAACTCATTACACACCGGTAAACAAAATTGTTGGATGGTTTCTTTGTTCTGTGAGCCTTCGGGGGAAATAATGTAAAGTTTGCCCCAAGGGTGAGATAAGTCATAAATCAGAGTTTATCCTATGTACAAAGGCCATTTTATCTGCTTGGACTCTGCCTTGTCAGGCTCTACATTTACAGACTGGTTCAGCTTCCACTATTTTCAGCTTTACTTCATCATCAGATGTGCTTTGTGCTAATTGCTAACCTGCTAAAAATCCCATTACAGTCCTGTTACAGTGCATTAGCCTTGCATTGGGTTTGCTAGTATAACTGAACTAAATGCTAAAGTGATACTCCATCCAAAATCTAATGTATGTTTATGTCACTCACTGTAGAGGTGGCTTGTAGTTTGTAGCATGCTCTTTACAGTAATAGGACAGTTTTAGTAAACTTGGTTTTACCTCAGTTACAATAATGACAACTCTAATAGTGAACCTGTTTTATGGCTTCTTGTCCTCACACATTCTCACACACAAACCTTTCAGATTCATTAAAGTTCTCTGAGGATCATAAATATGTGGCCAAATTTTATTGGCAATCCATTCACTGGTTGTCATGGCATTTACCTCTGGACCAAAGTGTACAGACAAAATGACTAGCATGACCAGAAACATTACAGATTTCATTTTGTTAATATTCCATCAAGCAAATTATAATCTTTAAAGTGACACAATATGACAGACGCCACATGCACATGTGCGCGCTCACACACACACACACACACACACACACAGAGGAGCTGTGTGGAAATCTGCTCATCAACCTGGATAATTCTCTACCTCATGATCAAGTGGTATGTGTGATTGCATGTGTGTGATTGTGGGTGGGTTAGGGTTAGTAGACAGAGAGGCAGCTGATCTCAAGTGTGTGAGAGAGGATGGAGAGCATTAATGCTGAGAGCTTCTGATCCCAACACCTGTGTATGTTAATGTTTGTGTGTTTGGATGTACGTGCACATGGATGCATGATGTGCATGATTACATTTGCTTGTCAATCAACTAACCGGCAGGCCTGAATGTCGCAGTCTGCCATTTTCTGACGCACCTGAGAGAGAAGGAAAAAAGGTAGAGAAATAACAAATTAATGTAGGAACAAAAAACAATTAAATCAAACTAATACCAGATAGACAAAATGAATATTTATGCATGCTTAATAATGTTATGGCAGATTAACAGAGAAAAAAAGGTATATTAAATGTATATGATAATGAAATAGATAAGGACAGAGTGAATCAGTGAAACACTACAAGACACAGGTTGCAGAGAGAAAGTTTTGTTGTTGTTTTTTTGATTGTTGATTGACCTGGTGCTATTCAAGCAATTTTGATCTGCTCATCTCATCACTTGCTCATCTCTTACAGCTTATAATTTTCTCCATTTTTACGCCACCACAACACATTAATATCAGAAACCTAAACCATATTATGTTTCATCAGCGAGGAGAGATGTAGAAGATATTTACATTTAGTAGCTCAAAAGTAAGTATTTTTATTATTATTATTATTCTGACACAACATAAATGCACATACAGTTAATTTATCATTGATGTAATTACTGGACATTATTGAATAGTCCTGCTGTACTTTAACCCTTGCCAATGAGGATGCAAACATTGTATTGTATTTTGGTGGGAGAGTTGTTGCTGTAATCTGTAAAGTTAATAGGTGATTGCATGTTTTATGGCTGATTTAAATCATCTGTATTGGTAAATGGAATTGTGTATCTGTGTGAGTTACGGAGAGATAAGTGAAGAGAAGGATCTGTAGAATACCCCAGAATCTATTGTAATTTAAATACAAAGTGGATATCAAATATACAGGATGTACAGTATGACAGATGGTCTTATCTAGATAATTAATTATTCAGAGTGGGTGCTTGTCTGCACACAGTATACATCAGGCTTGATTCTAAATATATTAGTAAAAATTAAAGGATACAGCAGCTCCATTTTGGCCTTTTGAGATTTGATTTCACACTAAACCTCTTTTATTTAATCTGCATGCACCTGCTGCCAGCGGCCACCATTTCGTTGGAGGAGAGAAGAACAGCTCTTGTCACCATCACAGTGACAAATAGAACCCCATGGGGTTTGCAGTCCTCACAAAGCAGTAGGCCTGATCAAGGATGACCGTCTCATTTAAGCTGAGGGGTGAAATGGATCAGCCTTATCAGCACAGCAGATGGAGGAAATGAAGGAGGCAGATCCATCCCAGCGGCAGGAGGAGGTTTAGAAGAGGTTTTGCAGAGTTAAGATTTACCAGACAACCTCTTCCCACATGGTTTAGTAGTGTGTGTGGCATGTGTTACTGTGCTTGCAGAGAGTGGAGATATCCTGTGGGTAGTTAATATTGAACACAGCAGGTTTAGCGAGTGGCAATGATCTCAATGATGTCTGTATGGGGTTAGAAGTGGAAGTGTGTGTGTGTGTATGTGTGTGTGTTGACGGATGTGCATTTGTGTGTCTTGGCATATTTCTGTGCAATTAAAAAAGGTGGTCTGTGGTGGTGGCATGGTTAATGCTCCTTGTGCAGCAGCGTTCGCATTACGTTCTCCCCATATGGTGCATTGCCACATAACTCTGCTGATTGTTTGGCATCTAGTCATTCTGACGTGATGTTGGTGTGAAACTGATCGTGGTTACGCATGCATGAATTACAGCAGCTGCTGTTTGCCTGCTGAGATGGATGTGTAATGGTGCTTTTCAGATTTTGATCTCTAAGGATCTCAGGAACTCTGCAAAAAGCATGAGCACAGTTTCACAGTCTTGGTAAATAAAAACATTTTGTTTGTCAGTAACTGTTCAAACAAAATACAACTCAGACATATACAGTATCTTCAGCCTGATTCCCTAACACAAAAACTGATTTTGCAAGCTGTTGTCTTTAAGGTGATGTCAAAGCTCTTGCATGTCACTGCCAAGTATGCTAGAATAGAATGACAAAACACATTGTTAAGCATTTTTACAAGTACTTTTGTCATGTAATTGTGATCAATAGTAAACTATATACACTTGTGTAGAAAAGTTTAGACGGAGTAGAGTCCAGTGGTCCAGTGGATAGTCTTACAACTCATGGGACGTAATGTTGCTACCGCCACCGGTACAGATTGGACAAAATTCCACAAATGTGTAAAAAGGAAGTCACAAATGTAACGTGACATGCAAATTGACAGGAAATGATCCACAAATTTGAAAAGACTGTCTGTGTAAAAATAGATCCACAAATGCATAAAAAATACTTTGTATGTGAAATTTAAATATGTGTACAGAGTAAATTGTACATATTTAGCAAATTGCACCGTTTTTTTGTGGATATGAATTTACACAACACAAATGTAAAAAATAATGTTTTGAGTAGTGAGATGCTTGTGTATATTTACAAATATTAAAGTCCAATAAAATCTTCCATACCCTGTGAATTGTTTGACAACTAGTAGCGCTATGGAGAGTTGTTTTTATAAGATCGCAACACATTCCTGCCAGTGGTCTCACATTATTTCACATGCACAATGCACCAAGAATTGCAGCAATGCGCTAGCAATGGCAGGGAAGAAGAAGACTGTCAGTGAGGAAAACATGGATGTAAACAATGCAGGATTTAAAATGTTTTAAAATGTTTAATGTTTTAAAAGTCTGCTTTGTGAGTGATTCATGAGACAGTGATGCACACAATGTGTTTTAACATTTATTTATTTACAAGTTAAACTCTACAGGGGACCTTTAAAGCTGCTATCAATGTTGATATCTTAACAATAGATCAAATGACAATGTTTAATATGAAGGGTGACAAATCCACAGATAATTATCACTAGAAAGTTTAGATTCACGCTCATCAACCTCGTTTCCAGATGCGCTTAACAGTTGTTTTCAGGTGAAAGGTTCAGATGAACTAACTGTACACCACCTGTCCAGCGCCAAAAGACAGACAAATTTAGCAATTAGCTGGTGGCCACAGTGGAGCTAGATACTATTATTAGGAGTTGGTGGAGACTGAAACTGATCAAAAAGTAGATTGAATCTTGGATCTGTAAATAAGGAACTGTTTGCCAAATTTGCTTTATAAGGTTTTAATATGTCAATACTGTTTTTACAGTTTGTTGCACTGGAACCAACTCTGTAAAAAAAGATTCTATAAATGCACGTTTAAACAAATATTACTAATATCTCTTTAACCTTCACTCATCAATTGCTCCCTAGTTAGTATGTGTGAACCACACTGGAACATATTAGAATATCCTCAATCTTCTCACTTCCAGCTTGGTCAGATCCTGCGAAGCCCATTCATGAAGTTCGTGGCCCACGCTGTTCCTTCACCATCTTCTTGGGCCTGCTGGTTGTCAACGCCTCCGACCGCTTTGAGGGTGTCAAGAACCTGCCCAATGAGACCATAACAGACCACCCACGACAGGTGTTCAGGGTCAAAACCACACAGTTCTCCTGGACAGAGATGTTGATCATGATGTGGGTGTTGGGTGAGTCGCCTTCTCACACACAGCTGTGGCGGTGTTTGAAATTCTGCACAGGTAGAGCCAATTACAATGCAAATAGATAAGATAGTCACTGTCAACGCAGATTCTCCATCATGATAACCTTGACGTGGCATGTAAGAGAGGCAAGACAAAACGTTTCCTGGTGGATTTTCTTTTTAAATTTTGTTTTTGATCAGTGTGGATTATTTTTTTAACATGCAAGCAAGAAGAGTTTAAGGTGATGTTTCTACCAAGGTTCAAATGTGCTAAAATATGTATATAAATAAATATGTGATCTAAAATATATTTTAATAAAAATTCAACATAGCACACCATAAGTCAGTAAAGTTCCTGAATAGAGTCTGGGAACTTTTTTGACCAACTTTGATATGAGGCAGAGTTAAAGATTAATGCAGCACCATACCAACCAAGTGGATGAAAGCCAAGGTAATAATTGACAAGTCATTCTCTTTTATCTTCCAAACATCAAATAGAAGTTTCCTGGTTGGATGCAGCACTAGCCAGACCGAGTCCAAACGATAAACTGGAGAGAAATTTGGAATTTGACCTGAGATGTGCTGCTGAGGAAATATCAGGAGGAGGGATAGAGAGAAAGAGAGATGGAAAATAGATGAGAGCAGTTGAGGGAGATGGGTGAAAGTAAAGGAAGGGATGGAGTGTATGGAGTACAAAAAGACCAGCATGAAGAAACAGGGAGAAAGACAGAGGTGACAGAAAGACAAATGCAACAGATAAATAGCCCAAGGCAATATTTGTTAGACCTCAGCTGCTTCCCATCTGCTGATGTTCTTCCTTTTATATCTACACAAAACACACACACACACACACACATATATATATATATATATATATAATAACATTATGTGAGTGGTTTGTGTATGTTGGTGCACATATCGTTCTGTTTTTATTTGCTTATGTGTAATGACACCATTCTTTTCCCATCCGCAGTTATTTTTTGGCAGCAGGTGCTTGTGTCTGTTTTTGTGTGTGTGCAGTGAGTGGTGGCTTTGTGAAAGCAGGGTAATTGTAATTCCAGCAGCATGTTTTGAAGGCCCAGTAATTGTTATAGATATGATACTGATCAGGGGGCTTTTTCAGTAAGCAATTGTCTCCTTGTTTTGGCTCTAAAAAGAGGGTGACAGAGTGGTTGCAAGGCTTTCCACTAAGTGTGTGTGAGTGTGTGTGGTATCGTGCATCTGCTATAAGTGGGGATATCTGAGTGGTTGAGTATAAATTATAAGCTTTGTTGTCAACATCTGTGTATGTACATGTATTAACGTGTTTATGTTTGAATGACTGTGGGAAAGCCTCTTTATCTTTGTGTATTTGTATTTATCTTGTTTGTTTCCAGTCTTTCCATGTTGTATCCATGTATTTATTTATGTGTGTGTGTGCGTCCTCCTTTCTCAGGTATGATTTGGTTAGAATGTAAGGAAATCTGGAGCGATGGGCCCAGAGAGTACATCATGCACCTTTGGAACGTTCTGGACTTTGGCATGTTGTCCATTTTTGTGGCGTCCTTCACGGCACGCTTCATGGCGTTCCTCAAAGCGTCCAAAGCCCAGCAGTATGTGGACATGCATGTACCAGACGAAGACCTCAGCAACGCCTCGCTGCCTGACGAAGTTGCATACTTCACTTACGGTAAGCAGTTACTCCACTCCAAAACTATGTATATAACATCAGTAATGTTAGCAATAATACATCTGACAGGGATACGCAAAGATACATCAAAATGTCTTTTAAAATTAAATACCATACTGATAAGGAGTAGCAAATCACAAGAGTTTAAGGGTTTAAGTAAATGCAATACACTCATAATAACAAGTAAGCATGTATACACACACACAGGCAAACATGACCTCCACTGATGAGCAAACACAGTGAACAGTTATTTTGCTTAGAGGAGCAGTTACACCTGTTTTTTTAATACCTATCTTCCCTACTCTATCTGCATTTGTAGGAAATATAGTGTCATAATATAAAAAAACTTGTGAAAACTTCAAGATCACAGAACATATAAACTTTTGCATCACTTTCAGAGCCAAAACTCCAACATATTAAACCTGCTGCAGGCTACTGGACTTTACACTTGTTAGTGGCCTGCTAAGGAACCTTCATCAGTGCTGTCATCTGGTGGTCTGACTCGGTCATAACACATTAGTAAATAGACAAAGGTGCATGTTACTGCAGTGTCAATTATTATCCCCATAAGCTATTCTCCATATCTCCATATCTACACTGAAAGGTCCACACATTGTGTATGATGTATGTCCTCCTTGTCCTAGATGGAACAGCAAATTTGTGCAATGGAGCCTTTCTTTCTTTTACTTTCTTTTTGTGTACTTAATGTCTTTTGTATCTCGTTTTCCCATCTAACTCAATTATCCTTTCTGTCAACATGTCTGACCGTCTCTCTTTTTCTGCCCCTCCCTCTTCTTCTGTCCCTCTGTCCTTACTTCTCCTTGGACACTCTATCCCTTTATACCTTCCCTTTGCTGTCCACCCGTGTCATACTAAATGCCTTCCCTCCTCACTCCACACCCTTCTTCTGTCATCCATTAATCCATCTTCTACCCTCTCCTCGATCAAAGTACATGTTCCTAAAAGCCAAGATTATGCTCTTTAGGACCATCTCTCAACCAAAGATTTGCTCTGTTATATGGAGCTGATCGCTGAATGGCATCAAGCCAAAGGAATGCAGATATATGGCACAGTGAAAAATACTGTGATTAGTGTTGTAGTACTCGAGACCGGTCTTGGTCTTAAGACCACTTTTTGATGGTCTTGGTCTCGTCTCGGACTCGACCGCCTTTGTACTCGGTCTTGTCTCGGACATTGAGGACGCGGGATTTTATTTCAAGACCAGTCAAGACCATAACTTTGGAAATATCAATAAATTGCTTTTGCATTGTCTGATTTGTTAACATCCTAACTTTAGTAGAAGTAAAACTCAAATGCAACCAATAACCCTAATTAATCATGTGTTGTTCCGACTGTCACCCCTCCCCACGATGCTTACATTGATTTCAGCTCTTAGTGTTTGTATGTCGGTGTTTTAATGGGAAACTGGATCTTTCATATCACTTTGAGAAGTACCTTTCTTTCCACATTTTATTCCGTGCCATGCAATGCAGGAAACTGGAGCACAACTGCAGCTGTGGATAATTATGGGCGGTTATAAATCCACCAAAATTCATTTTGGGGCTCCTCTATACTTGCATACCTGATGCATCAGATTTTATTCAGTATAATTATGTTAAAATGAAACTGGGTCAAATCTGAACCAGGGACCTGTTTTATTGTCCAAATGGGCAAATAGCCAGTTTGCCTCAAAATAAAAAAACTGGACAATAATCTTTGACTTTGCAAATACAATACAACAGCTTACTCTTGTCTTTTTCTTTCTTCTCCTCCAGCCAGGAACAAGTGGCGCCCCTCAGACCCCCAGATCATCTCTGAAGGCCTGTACGCCATCGCTGTAGTGCTGAGTTTCTCACGCATCGCCTACATCCTGCCAGCTAATGAGAGCTTCGGCCCACTACAGATCTCACTGGGGCGCACAGTCAAAGATATCTTCAAGTTCATGGTCATCTTCATCATGGTGTTTGTGGCCTTCATGATCGGCATGTTCAACCTGTACTCATACTATCTGGGAGCCAAGTACAATCCTGCCTTCACCACGTGAGTTATGCCCAGCTGCGAGAGTGTTTTGGCAAATGTGTGTGACAGTTAGAAGGTCGTTATGTCTCAATATATGTGCATTTTTACATGTACATCTTTTTCACACTCTACCAAACATGCACGCTTCAAGGCAAATACAGTGGAACGCCATCATGGCCCTATTCTGATCGTTTTATGTCAGAATTGAGTGCAAAGACAAATAATTCACGTAAAAAGTATCTGATTTGGGTCCCATGTTACTATAATTGCTAGACAAGGCTATATATCAATGAAATCCCCTGGACAAAATAAATCGTCACATGTCCTCCTCGATGAGACTGTTTGTTGGGTTCATTAAATTCATGGTTCTTCATCAGTGGCAGGGATCGAACTTTAATCTTCCCTCAGGCCTAATGCTGGCACTCACAATGAGTGCATTCTCCACAATGAGGAGAATGCTGAGTGGGATGATTCACTCACTAAAATATTTAACAAACACTGGTGATTTGTTGTTTTATCTCACAGCTTGAACAGTTAGTAATTACAAGTTATGGTTATGTAACTGGGTTTTTCCCCTACTTTTTTTTATTTCCACCCTGCTGTATCTCCCATAAGCACAACTATTTTTTTACTTTTTAACTATTTGAAAATTAAAGTGGTAGTGAGATGGCAGGTGGCAGTGAGAAGTGTCAATGGCAGATTCTGCCTGAGTGTCATGAGTTGTAGTTTTTCCCTGTGGGTTTGAGTTTTTGCCATTTGTTTCTGGTGTCCTTCTGTTTACCTGTTCTTCTCGTTTCCTTGTCCTTGGTGTTTATGTCTTGTCTGGTGTTCAAGCTCATAGTCCTGCGTTGATTTCATATGGCTTTGGTTTGAAGTTTGGTTGTCTAGTTGTTATATTGTTTCTTAGTCACTGCCTTAACTCTTGTTCCTGCGTTTTAGTTATTTGTGCTTGTTCCCAGTCCTGTACCTTAGTTCATGTTAAGTGTTCACTCTGGTCTATTGTGTCTGTTACCCCAGGGATCCCTCTGCATGTCTGTCTTTGTTTTCCCCTTCTCTCTCTCTGCCTCTCTCTCTGCCTGCCTGCCTGTCCCTCGTTAACCCTGATCTCTGTCACCTGTGTTGCTCCCGCCCTGCTCGTTACTCCCTGTGTGAGTATATATACCTGGTGTTTCGGTCTTGTCTTTGTTGGTTCATTACTTTCTATGTTTATTGTCACCCAGTGTTGCAGTTTGTTCTCATGTCTTCAGCCTTACTTGCCATGTCTCCCTGTTACCCTGCTCATTTTTGGATCTCTGTTTGGACTACCTTAGTTTTTGGATTCTGTATTCAGCCACTCACCTGTAAGTGTGCTCGTTTTTTGGTTCGTTCATTAAAACCCCTTTGTTCTGTACCTCTTCCTGCCTTGCGTCCTGCGTTTGGGTCCTCCAACCTGCCTCACCCACACCAAACCGTGACGCTGAGCTGTGGGATAAATGCCTCATAAAATGTAACCTTGAAATGACATGCAAATGATGAGGCAAAACATCTCGACTTATTGATTTATTTATTTATTTTTTAAATCCATTGTATTTCAGATCAGTGTGGACGTTAAAGTAACAGGGGAGCAAGATGAGCTTTTGGAGATGGTTAGACAGGGTCTCAAAAAGATTTCATGCCAGTCCAAACTATTTGGCAAAGTTTCAATGAGGCACAAGATTTTGCCATTCCCACTGACAACAAAGGTTTTCCCATTGTTGCCAGGGAACAGTCAGAGAACTTTTTTGCCGAACTCTGATCTGAAGCAGGATTTAACACACCAAGAAAGTGGTTGGCAGTGATATTGGAGACAATTAGACAGTTAGAGTACTAAATGACAAAAGTCAGCCATCTATGTGTAACAAAAGCTCATTATTATGCAGACTTCATCCCCCAGTTAAAACAGTGAATCCATCAAGAATAGGTTCACATTTTCATGACAGTCTTTAAAAAAGTGTTCGCATGCCATATGTAAATATACTCCTTTCTTTACCAGTCATTAAGCAATCTCTTCCTAGTCCTTGTTCTGGCTTCAGCACTCTGAGTCAGACAAATCAAGTGGGACAGACCATTGTTGCATTTGATAATTGAAAATCATCCAACTGAAATGAGAAAGGGGATGATAACAACACTCTAAATGTGCTTAAGTGCTGCATTTAATTTTATTGTCAGGGTCATCCATTTCAAATGGTCAAGAGCACATTTTAACTGAAGAGTCAGATTGCACTTAAAGGCTGCAGTGCATAAATACATCCATATAATGGTTTAAAAATATACTTTCACTTGTTTTTTTTATCATTATCCACATCAGCAACAAGCAATTCAAAGTTTATTTTATCAATTTTACTGTAGCATTTGTGCAGACACCTGCTTGTAAAGCATTCAGTTCATCAAACAAGTCCCACACCACATCAATCTAAACACAAATGCTTCTTCCTCCTCCCTTCATTTTAGCGTATCCGTGGGTCTGCGTGCTTATTCTCTCACATCAGCTGCAAACACAGTGAAAGGGGATCTTTCACTGCCATTGTCTGATATTTGTAGTAAAGTTATCCATCTTGGGCTGCTGGCAGAATCTTTCACCAAGTCTGTTTATCATCATTCATCTCAAAATGACAACTCTCTCTGAGGTCTCACCCCGTCGCACATCGTTGTTCATTTTCTCAGAAGAAGACATCAGCAGATTTAAACAGATGACATTACACCTTTTCTGCACAACCCAATAGTGCAAATCATGCTTTTCAAGTAATTACACTGTCATATACTGTTCATTTTTTTAACTAACCAGAGGGGTGATGTATATGTAATTGAGGTTTTTCATCTGGTACCTTAAGGTTCACAGTTCCTAGTTGCCTGCACTAAAGAAGTCACAAGCAGCTCTGTCTTTTTGCAAGTTTGGGAAGTAGTCATTCCACTAAATTAGAATCAATACACAGGTCAAAACCAGTCTGTCCATTTAGTAGAGCATGGTGGTCTTGTTTATGCTCTTTTGGATAATTTACTTTAAATGTTTTTCGAGCCAGTGAAGAACACGTAAAAAAGTCAGTTTAGAGTGTGACATGAACTCTTGCCCTCAGTAAATTTTGTATTTCCAGGCTTTCTAACCATGACAGACTGCTGCCAGATGTCAACATATAAATCTTGCACAGCATATAGCATAAACCTTGTGCTGCAGGCTTGTTTGGTGTTGCTGGTTTGGAGGACTCCCAGTAGACCACACAGCAGATTGAGTTAGTGTGCAGAGGTCCATTCAAACCAGTCTTACCCTAAAGACAAGTTTAGAAAAGGTTTTCATTTCAGACTTACAGAGACAGACTGTTTTAAAGGAGGGAGAAATGTAGTGAGGGCACGTCGGTGTCAGGTGTGACTGTACAACAATGGCAAATTGTTTACAGTGCTCATGAGTCAGGTAGGTAGGGCCCCATAGCAGTATTTTGCTTAGGCCCCCCTGGGAGGTCTACTTTCCCATGCTGACTTACCCTGCACCTGTGTGCTGTGCATACAGAGTAGTTTTTCTGCTCAGCCCCAGCACAGGAGTCTTAGAGGCAGTGAGTTCTGCTTGGCTGCCCACATGGAGCCAAAGATCCAGGAAACGTGATGAGCAGACAGACAGGGCAGTGGCATGAGACAGAGCTGACAGAAAGGCAGATAGACAGGTGGAAAAAGCGTCTAATGGAGTTGAAATGGACAATCAGGGGAGACTGTCTTCACAACCCACGAGTCAGACATAATGAAGACTTCTCAAAAAGGACAAGTACAGAAAAGACCCCAGGCTCTGCAGATGGAAGAGCCTTATCATCACCATTATACACTCATTTCCATCATGAGTGTATGATCCAGCTCCTTACATTGTCCCCTTATCACTTCTCCTCTCAGCTTTAGAGATCAACATCAAGGCTGATTTCAAAAATCGGCGTTAACACAGCCGTGGTAAAAATAGAAACTACTCATCTTAATAACAACCTCTGACTGTATTTCTTGTCAGAGTAGTTTTTTGGGCCAGAAAATGTCCCTGCATTTCTGCTTCTAAATAAGCCACACTGTTTTTTCCTCTGACAGTTTTTCAATGGGCTACTCTGTCAATGGGAGCTGCATAGAGATGTTTTTAGCAAACCCCTTAAACACTGTTGTTGTTGTCAGTCTCACCACCAGGGGTCAGTGTGGCTTTAAATCTCAACCTGTCTGTACAGTGGCTGATGGAGCAATTGCCTGGACTGAACTGTGCAGACAGGAAATATGCATTTATTTTTTATCTAATTTTTGTTGTGTCAGTCTAATCAACCCTTTTATTCCATGTTTTGTCTATAAATGCCTCGTAGAATGTGCAGTCTGTGCACTGTGATGCATTGTTGGGTCTCTTTTGTGTCTGTGAAGGTTTTTCTTCCTGTCTCATTCAATTAGGTGCGTCTGCGATATGTTAATAATAGGCTTTCCTATGCTCTGTGCAAATTGTGAATTTTCAAAACAATAATCTCTTTCTGTCACCCAGCAGAGAACATGTGCCTGTATAGGTGTGTGTGTGCTGTGCTCAGTTCTGTGTGTGTACGAGTGTGTGTGTGTGTGTGTGTGTGTGTATCGGGGCTATGTGACTTAAGCTATCTGACAGGGCATGTTTGATGGAGGGCAGAAGAAAGGGCTGGTCTGATAGATCTGATACAGGAAGATGAGGAGGGAGCCAGGTGGAGGTAGTAATGACACCCAAGCTGGGGGGACAGAGGGAGGGATGTGAGGGGAAGGAGGGTGGGGTATGGCGGAGGAGTGAGGCGGAGGATATCACTCTCTCTCACACACACACAGACTCCTTCACACAAAACTCACACACATATAAATACACATAAATGCACAGCTGGACAGGGCTCAATGAAGACTCAGCAGTAATAGCCACACATACCCAATCCCTAGAGGCACGAAGACTCAGATGGCTATCTGACTCACCCAGTAAAAAAACATACACTCCATATGCTTTTTGTCGAGTACCCACACAGTGATGTTCTCAAATGTGCAAA